ATTAATAAATTACAAATTTGTTAACACCTCAATGTAATAAATTTCTTGATAATTATACGATTCTAAAATAATACATTTGTTTTGCTTGCTCGAACAGAGAAAGTATTTTTTATTTTGTTTGGGAAAATAAACAATTTAAAGAAAAATCTGCAGAAAAAGTGCAGCATTTGTAAATAAACAAACAAATTAGAAAGGAAAATTATACTTTTCTAATCCAAATAAATGCAAATAAACAAATGTGCATACGGCTGGTTAAGACACTCGAAATTTTTGTTGTTGTTATTATAGTCAAGGAAAAATAGATCTTGTAGATATAGGTATGTAGCTATAGAAATTGCAACACTCACACACCACAACGAATGAAATACCCAGCAGGTGTAACATACAATATATTGGGAACATTTGATAAATACAACAAAATACCTCAACATTTTTTTTTTTTTTTTTAAATTTCTTAGATTTGGATTTACTTAAAAACAATGGGTGCTAGTGGAACTTGTAAAATGCCCTACAGTGAAAGAATATTCATCGTTGAAGACATTAAGGGATTATTTGTTTTCTCTCATACATAGCTAGTGAAAAATTGCTATAGCTAGATTAGCTTTTTAACGGTATAGGATTTGAACTGAATCCTACATCGTTGGAAATACCTTGCTATTATATTCAAACATATTTTTCCCTATTAAAATTTTATTATTAAGGGATTTTCCTCTGTAACAAACCTTTTCACAAAGTTTTTATTACCAACGTAGCGTCCTCACCTTAAAATACCTTTAAATAATTAGTTTTCAACATTGAGGAAGGGCACGCGTCTTAATATTTGAAAATAGTTGCGCTGTGTTTAAAATAAAATATTCACAACCGAATAAACTTAAATCCAAAGAATGTTGTTTACATCATTAATATGGTATTATATATGAATACACAATTTTTTAATTTTCTTAAAAAAAACAAATTTTTTACAAAAACGAAAAAAAAACACTTTAATTTGAGGCCAAAAAAGCAACAAAAACTGGGTCGTTTTTCTAGAAGACAACAAATCGTGTAACACACAAAAAATTCAAAACACTACATTTTCATTAAAATTTTTTTCAACAAAAAAATTTTTAATTTTTTTTTTATTTCAAATTTCATGTTTTTCTTAAGAGTGTGTTAAGAGTTGTTTATATGTATGTATATTCAATAAAAAATCTTTAGAATATTGAATAAATTTTTAGCTGCTTTTTCATTCAGGTCATCATGATTTTTTTATTAAATAAATTAATTTATTATTTTACATGCTCATTTTTAAACACATGAAATTATTTGTTAAAACAATTTAATTAAGATTTCAAATGTTTTAATTTTTTAGATTTTTTGTTTTAATTAATAGAGGTAATTTGGTGTAATAAACATTTTGTGAGGATTATGGTTTGAAAAAATGTGTTATTTGAATCAATCTTATATTTTAACAAAAAACATTTTAAACTCAAATCTTTTTCATGTTTTCCAACTCTAGCTGCGTTCGAGTTGAGATCTAATTCAGTTCTAGTTCCAGTTCAGTTCTAGTTCAGTTCTAGTTCAGTTCTAGTTCAGTTCTAGTTCAGTTCTAGTTCAGTTCTAGTTCAGTTCTAGTTCTAGTTCAGTTCTAGTTCAGTTCTAGTTCAGTTCTAGTTCAGTTCTAGTTCAGTTCTAGTTCAGTTCTAGTTCAGTTCTAGTTCAGTTCTAGTTCAGTTCTAGTTCAGTTCTAGTTCAGTTCTAGTTCAGTTCTAGTTCAGTTCTAGTTCAGTTCTAGTTCAGTTCTAGTTCAGTTCTAGTTCAGTTCTAGTTCAGTAGTTGCTAGTTCTAGTCAGTTCTAGTCAGTTCTGTTCAGTTCTAGTTCTGTTCGATCAGTTCTAGTTATTTCTAGTTCATTTCTAGTTCAATTCTAGGCTCAATTTAGTTTCAGTTATAGTTCTGTTCTAGTTCAGTTCTAGTTCAGTTCTAAGTAGTTCGTTCTAGTTCAGTTCTAGTTCAGTTTAGTCAGTTCTGTTTCAGTCTAGTTCAGTTTTCTATTGCAGTTCTAGTTCAGTTTTATAGTTCAGTTCTAGTTCAGTTCTAGTTCAGTTCTAGTTTCAGTTCTCGTTCAGTTCTAGTCAGTTCTAGTTCAGTTCTAGTTCAGTTCTAGTTCAGTTCTAGTTTCAGAGTTTAGTTCAGTTCTCTAGTTCAGTTCTAGTTCAGTTCTAGTTCAGTATAGTTCAGTTCTAGTTCAGTTTAGTTCATTTCTAGTTCAGTTCTAGTTCAGTTTCTAGTTCAGTTCTAGTTCAGTTTCTAGTTCAGTTCTCGCTAAATTCAGTTCTAGTTCAGTTCTAGTTTCAGTTCGTCAGTTCTAGTCAGTTCTAGGTTCAGTTCTAGTTCAGTTCTCGTTCAGTTCAGTTCTAGTTCAGTTCTAGTTCAGTTCTAGTTCAGTTCTAGTTCAGTTCTAGTTCAGTTCTAGTTCAGTTTCTAGTTCAGTTCTAGTTCATTAGTTCAGTTCTAGTTCAGTTCTAGTTCAGTTCTAGTTCAGTTCTAGTTCAGTTCTAGTTTTTCAGTTCTAGTTCAGTTCTAGTTCAGTTTCTAGTTCAGTTCTAGTTCAGTTCTAGTTCAGTTCTAGTTCAGTTCTAGTTCAGTTCTAGTTCAGTTCTAGTTCAGTTCTAGTTCAGTTCTAGTTCAGTTCTAGTTCAGTTCTAGTTCAGTTCTAGTTCAGTTCTAGTTCAGTTCTAGTTCAGTTCTAGTTCAGTTCTAGTTCAGTTCTAGTTCTAGTTCAGTTCTAGTTCAGTTTCTAGTTCAGTTCATTCAGTTCTAGTTCAGTTTCAGTTCAGTTCTAATTCAGTTCTAGTTCTAGTTCAGTTCTAGTTCAGTTTCAGTTCAGTTCTAATTCAGTTTCTAGTTCTAGTTCAGTTCAGTTCTAATTCAGTTCTAGTTCTAGTCGTTCTAGTTCAGTTCTAGTTCAGTTCTAGTTCAGTTCTAGTTCAGTTCTAGTTCAGTTCTAGTTCAGTTCTAGTTCAATTCTAGTTCAGTTCTAGTTCAGTTCTAGTTCAGTTCTAGTTCAGTTCTAGTTCAGTTCTAGTTCAGTTCTAGTTCAGTTCTAGTTCAGTTCAGTTCAGTTCTAGTTCAGTTCTAGTTCAGTTCTAGTTCAGTTCTAGTTCAGTTCTAGTTCAGTTCTAGTTCAGTTCTAGTTCAGTTCTAGTTCAGTTCTAGTTCAGTTCTAGTTCAGTTCTAGTTCAGTTCTAGTTCAGTTCTAGTTCAGTTCTTCAGTTCTAGTTCAGTTCTAGTTCAGTTCTAGTTCAGTTCTAGTTCAGTTCTAGTTCAGTTCTAGTTCAGTTCTAGTTCAGTTCTAGTTCAGTTCTAGTTCAGTTCTAGTTCAGTTCTAGTTCAGTTCTAGTTCAGTTCTAGTTCAGTTCTAGTTCAGTTCTAGTTCAGTTCTAGTTCAGTTCTAGTTCAGTTCTAGTTCAGTTCTAGTTCAGTTCTAGTTCAGTTCTAGTTCAGTTCTAGTTCAGTTCTAGTTCAGTTCTAGTTCAGTTCTAGTTCAGTTCTAGTTCAGTTCTAGTTCAGTTCTAGTTCAGTTCTAGTTCAGTTCTAGTTCAGTTCTAGTTCAGTTCTAGTTCAGTTCTAGTTCAGTTCTAGTTCAGTTCTAGTTCAGTTCTAGTTCAGTTCTAGTTCAGTTCTAGTTCAGTTCTAGTTCAGTTCTAGTTCAGTTCTAGTTCAGTTCTAGTTCAGTTCTAGTTCAGTTCTAGTTCAGTTCTAGTTCAGTTCTAGTTCAGTTCTAGTTCAGTTCTAGTTCAGTTCTAGTTCAGTTCTAGTTCAGTTCTAGTTCAGTTCTAGTTCAGTTCTAGTTCAGTTCTAGTTCAGTTCTAGTTCAGTTTAAGTTCTGTTCTAGTTCTGTTCCAGTTCTGTTCTAGTTCTGTTCTAGTTCTGTTCTAGTTCTGTTCTATTTCTGTTCTAGATCTGTTCTAGTTCTGTTCTAGTTCTGTTCTAGTTCAGTTTAGTTCAGTTCTAGTTCAGTTCTAGTTCAGTTCTAGTTCAGTCTAGTTCAGTTCTAGTTCAGTTCTAGTTCAGTTCTAGTTTCAGTTCTAGTTCAGTTCTAGTTCAGTTCTAGTTCAGTTCTAGTTCAGTTCTAGTTCAGTTCTAGTTCAGTTCTAGTTCAGTTCTAGTTCAGTTTAGGTCTGTTCTAGTTCTGTCTAGTTCTGTTCTAGTTCTGTTCTAGTTCTGTTCTATTTCTGTTCTAGATCTGTTCTAGTTCTGTTCTAGTTCTGTCCTAGTTCTGTTCTTGTTCTGTTCTAGTTCTGTTCTACTTCTGTTCTAGTTCTGTTCTGGTTCTGTTCTACTTCTGTTCTAGTTCTGTTCTAGTTCTGTTCTAGTTCTGTTCTAGTTCTGTTCTAGTTCTGTTCTAGTTCTGTTCTAGTTCTGTTCTAGTTCTGTTCTAGTTCTGTTCTAGTTCTGTTCTAGTTCTGTTCTAGTTCTGTTCTAGTTCTGTTCTAGTTCTGTTCTAGTTCTGTTCTAGTTCTGTTCCAGTTCTGTTCTAGTTCTGTTCTAGTTCTGTTCTAGTTCTGTTCTAGTTCTGTTCTTGTTCTGTTCTAGTTCTGTTCTAGTTCTGTTCTAGTTCTGTTCTAGTTCTGTTCTAGTTCTGTTCTAGTTCTGTTCTAGTTCTTTTCTAGTTCTGTTCTAGTTCTGTTCTAGTTCTGTTCTAGTTCTGTTCTAGTTCTGTTCTAGTTCTGTTCTAGTTCTGTTCTATTTCTGTTCTAGTTCTGTTCTAGTTATGTTCTAGTTCTGTTCTAGTTATGTTCTAGTTATGTTCTAGTTTTGTTCTGAGCCTATTCCAGTTCTGTTATAGTTCTGTTCTAAAATTTTAATTGAAAATTCTATATAACCTCAAAATTAATTTGTAACATTTAAACAGCCAACTGTTTAAATGATATTAATTTACTTCTTAATATTTAAAAAAAATCTGTAATTATATTTAATAATTTTTTCTTCTCTTTACATTCTGTCCCTCATTTCAGCACTTACAGTACGTTATCTGACAGGTCGTTTTATAGGAGAATATCGTTCAAATACAGATTTGTTATACAATAAAACAATAACATTGGAGACAGGACTGACGGAAGTTGAAATTGTTGATGTTTATGCCGGAAGTGTTGATGGTGATGAGCATGAAAATGAATTTCCCATGGAACAAGTAAGTAAATATTGATAGTCGATCAAGACACCTCCCATCTCTAGGTGATTACATGAATTATACAACAAATTAATGGATTGTTTTTTTTACATTTTGGCTTAATTTATAAACATTATGGTTTTGTTTTGTATTTTAAGTAATTAAAGATAAAATTTCTTGTAAATGTAAAATGTGTTGTTTTTTTACTTTAAATTCTTTTAAAGGTTTTTGACATTGAATTTTCTTGTTTCTTAAATATTTACACAAACATATTATTAAAAATATTTATATTTTTTCTTAAAGAATTTTTGTCCGTTTAGTTCACTGAACCTTGATTTGAGTGCTTATTTTTCTTGTTTTATTTTTTTTTTTTTTTTTCAACAAACAAAATTTCTTACTTACATCTCAATTTATTTAGATTTTGCTTTGATTTTTGGCTGCAATTAAATATTTGCAAATTTGTAAAGATTTTTTTGTACAAGAAGTAAATTTTTTTGACACTTCTATTACTACTAATAATCACATTCCCTTGTTTTTTTGTTGGCAATTTTTACTTTGAATTTTTAACAAGTGTAATATTTTGTCTGTAAGGCAAAAATATTTGAAATTTGTTATTGAAAATATTAAATTTATTGCAATAATTTAATTGAAATTTTAGTTCATCAATTAAATAGTTGTAAAGATAAATTCTAGGCATTTGTGGCAGTATAAACAGTTACAATGCAACAAATATGTAGAAAATAGTTTTAAATATTAGTTTTAATTGGTTCAGTTCCATTGTCAATGGATTTTTGAAAAGTGGGCCTCACAACCTTTAAGGTGATATATAATAGTTTAAATTTTCTTATCACATAAAATATATACAAGTTTAAACTCAAACTAAATACTTAAAAACTTTAACATAAATTTAATTATTCAAATTATTTATAAAGTTTTGAAAAGTAGATACCATTACCTTTCAGATGATATATAATGGTCTAAGTTTTCCTATTTAAATTGCAAATAAAATCGATCCAAACTTTATGCAAAATAAAAAAATATTATAACTTAATTTTAATTTATTTTCTTTATAAATGTCTGATAAGTGAAAATATTAATATTATTTAAATGGTTTTGAAAAGTTGACACCATAACCTTTCAAATGATATACATTAGTCTAACTTTGCCTTTATACAGCCAAAACAAACTTGACACTAAATCAAAAACTTTAATTTCATTGTTTCTAATTATAATTCAACAATATATTAAAAGAATATTGAAAAGTTTAAATTGTTTAAAACCTTTTAAAAAGTAGACACCTTAACCTTTCAAATGATATATAATGGTCTTACTTTACCCTCCTAGAAATCAAATAAAATTAACGCAAATTTGAGTTATTATCATCATTTTAATGTAAACTTTATTTTTCTCATAATTTTCATATAAATTATGTATACTTTTCAAAAACATACGTTTTTGAAAATTAGACACTGTAGCCTTTCACATGATATATAATAGTCTAACTTATTCATTTTAAGCCAAAACAAAAAGGAACCAAACTTAAGGCTTAATGAAAAGCTTAAATTTTAAAGTTTCTAATTATATCATCAAAATATGTTAAATGAAAATTTAAAAGTTTTAATTATTTATATAAATTCCGAAAGTAGACTCCTTAATCTTTCAAATGATATATAATAGTATAACATTTCCTTCCTAGATCCCAAACTTAATACTAAATAGAAAAAGTTGTACACAAACATTTCTTTTCAACTTTTTTAACTTCAAATTTTCTTAATTAATACAAAATTTGAAAAATTGTTATATTTATAAAAAGTAGCCACCATAAGCTATCCAATGATGTACAAAATGTTTTATTTTTGATTCACATTTAACAAGTCATGGATCGTAATATAATGTTAATCTATTTAAATTTATTTTGAAACATTTTTGCTTAAAGTTTTGTTCTATTTTAAAATGCTCTTAATATTTCTATGCTTTTCAAAAGAAGACATCTTAAGCTTTCATATGATATATAATACGACTACTTTTCGTCCTTTGGCTGAAAAGGCAGAGATCCAAACATAATATTAAAAAATATTTTTTTCACAAAAAAATTGTTTGCAACTTTTTGGCTTAAAATTTTGTAAAATATTAAAAAGTTTAAATAATTTATATATTTATTAAAATTAGACATCGTAAGTTATCAGATGATGTATAAAATGTTTAACTCTTAACTCACATTTAACAAATAATTGAGCGCAATATAATTTTAAACTGAAAATAGTTGAAAAAACATATTCCTGAATTTTTTTGCTTACAATTTTCTCTTAATTACAAACTATCAAGTAATGTTGATAATTTTAAAAATAAGACATGTTAAGCTTTTATATGATATATAATATGACTACATTTTTCTTTTAACGTAAAAATAAAAGACCCAGACGTAATGCTTAATGGAAAAAGTTTTACACAAAAGTTTGTTTTCAAATTTTTGGCTTAAAATTTTCTTAAATATTTCAAAACTTAAATAATTTTTATATTAATTAAAAGTGGACTTAATAAGCTATCCAATGATGTATAAAACGTTTAACTTTTAACTCAGATTTAACAAATCATTGAGCATAATATAATGTTAAACCGAGAATAGTTGAATTTAAAAAAAACACGTTGAGCTTTCAAATGATATATAATATGACTACCTTTTCCTTTTAACCTAAAAATAAAAGACCCAAACATAATGCTTAATGGAAAAAGTTTTACACAAAGTTTGTTTTAAAATTTTTGGCTTAAAATTTTCTTAAATATTTCAAAATTAAAATAATTTTTATATTTATTAAAAGTAGATGTCATAAGCTATCCAATGATGTATAAAATGTTTAACTTTTAACTCACATTTAACAAATCATTGAGCATAATATAATGTTAAGCCGAGAATAGTTGAAAAAATTTATTAAGCAATTTTTTTGCTTACAATTTTCTTATAATTAGAAATGATCACAGTATTTTGATAATTTTAAAAAGAAGACATGTTAAGCTTTCATATGATATATAATATGATTACTTATTGTGATTTGGCTGCAAAAAAGTAAAAGTAAAAATTTGTTTCATAATTTTTTTGCTCAAATTTTTTTTTAAATTTTTAAATAATGAAATTGTTTTAATAGCTTTAAAAATTAAACACTCTAAGCTTTCAAATGATATATAAAAAGTTTAACTTTTAACTCTCATATAAGAAACAGAAGATTTTAACATCTTAAATGTTAAAAAAAAGCTTAAATTAAATAAAATTTTCTTCAAATTGTAAAACCTTCAACATTTTTATACATTTTACAAAAGTAGTTAACATTACCTTTCAAATGATATATAATACATCTAGTTTTCTTGTTTAATATACAATATTTCAAGTTAAGAACATTACACTTTAAATAATTTGGTTCAAAAATATTTGATTTATATTGTGATGAGCATCTGAATTTGCATTTGCTTAGATCGATGACATATATTTTAAGCTTTTTCTTTCAATTGCTTACATTTTTATAAAAAAAAAACACACACATTTCCAAATATTTTTACATGAAAAAAATAGCGAAATTTTAACAACAAACATTTGTATTTATTTTCTTAAATTTTCCCCCTCAAAAAAAAAACACACCAAATATTTCTATTTAAGACAGATATATAACATTTTCCTCTTCTGAAAAAAAAAAACTCACAATTAATTTTCTTTATTTTCAACAGGTTTTATGGTCAGATGCCTGCATGATTGTCTATAATATAACACAACGTGGCAGTTTTGAATATGCGGCCAAATGTTTGGCCGAATTTAAATCACTACAGAATGCACCCACAGCATATTTGGTGGGGAATAAGGCCGATTTGGATCATTTGAGAGAGGTAAGTGGTGTTAGCAAGCACACGATCGAAAAAATATAGACAAATTTCAAATGTTTAAAAATAAAATTTTAAGGAATTTTGCTATTTTAAATTAGGGAACGAACATTACATTAATTAACAACTTAACACCTTTATTGTGGGATATATATTTCAGTTCATTTCTCTTGTAAAGACATTAATCTCAAGAGTTTAAGAGTTTGAGAAGTGTTATTAAGGGGGGAATGAGTTAAGGAATTTCGTATATGTAGTCTCTGCTTGTTATAAGTTTGGTGATAATTCTTTTCAGATTATTCTATTACATTTAGGAATTAAACATAATTGCTGTTTAGATTTATTATCGTGTAAAAAATTTAAGAATTTTTCCTTTGGGGTTACGAAATTCCTAACTAATGGTCTATGTGCATTCAAACTAATTTGGGTCAAAAAGTTTAAGTTTTTCGAAAAAAAAATAAATTTATTTTCTTAAAAGCCATTTTGTTTAAATAATTCGTTTTTATAAACTTTCTTTTTATTTAACTAATTAAAAACACATTTTACTATTTAAAAAAACAATAATTATTATTTTATATAATATTTATTTTTTTTTTGTTTTTTTTTACGTTTTCTTTTCAATTAAGACACGAGCTATTAACACGTGTTTTTGTCTATTTACAATAATCAATTGTTAATATTTACTAGACTAATAAACAATATACAATATCTTTTGTTTCACAAAAATGTTTGTTTATTAGCAGATTTAGTTACATAATGTTTTTTAGAAAAATAACTAAGTGCAGAAAACCATCTTAGATTATTTAACAAAAATGTCACATTAATATTAAGAATATTAAAAACGTGATATATTATAGTTAAGATATAGTTCCGTTCTAGTTCAGTTCTAGTTCAGTTCTAGTTCAGTTCTAGTCAGTTCTAGTTCAGTTCTAGTTCAGTTCTAGTTCAGTTCTAGTTCAGTTCTAGTTCAGTTCTAGTTCAGTTCTAGTTCAGTTCTAGTTCAGTTCTAGTTCAGTTCTAGTTCAGTTCTAGTTCAGTTCTAGTTCAGTTCTAGTTCAGTTCTAGTTCAGTTCTAGTTCAGTTCTAGTTCAGTTCTAGTTCAGTTCTAGTTCAGTTCTAGTTCAGTTCTAGTTCAGTTCTAGTTCAGTTCTAGTTCAGTTCTAGTTCAGTTCTAGTTCAGTTCTAGTTCAGTTCTAGTTCAGTTCTAGTTCAGTTCTAGTTCAGTTCTAGTTCAGTTCTAGTTCAGTTCTAGTTCAGTTCTAGTTCAGTTCTAGTTCAGTTCTAGTTCAGTTCTAGTTCAGTTCTAGTTCAGTTCTAGTTCTAGTTCAGTTCTAGTTCAGTTCTAGTTCAGTTCTAGTTCAGTTCTAGTTCAGTTCTAGTTCAGTTCTAGTTCAGTTCTAGTTCAGTTCTAGTTCAGTTCTAGTTCAGTTCTAGTTCAGTTCTAGTTCAGTTCTAGTTCAGTTCTAGTTCAGTTCTAGTTCAGTTCTAGTTCAGTTCTAGTTCAGTTCTAGTTCAGTTCATAGTTCAGTTCTAGTTCAGTTCTAGTTCAGTTCTAGTTCAGTTCTAGTTCAGTTCTAGTTCAGTTCTAGTTCAGTTCTAGTTCAGTTCTAGTTCAGTCTAGTTCAGTTCTAGTTCAGTTCTAGTTCAGTTCTAGTTCAGTTCTAGTTCAGTTCTAGTTCAGATCTAGTTCAGTTCTAGTTCAGTTCTAGTTCAGTTCTAGTTCAGTTCTAGTTCAGTACTAGTTCAGTTCTAGTTCAGTTCTAGTTCAGTTCTAGTTCAGTTCTAGTTCAGTTCTAGTTCAGTTCTAGTTCTAGTTCAGTTCTAGTTCTAGTTCAGTTCTAGTTTTAGAACTGAACTAGAACTGTAATGGAACCGAAGTAAAATTTCAAAATTTGTTTAATATAAAGTTTGTCCCTCTTTTTTTAAATCTTAAACTTTTTTCAAAATTAACCTCGAAATTTTTCATCGTACTCAATTTATTAGAATTTTTATCAAATAAATGTTTAAAATGTTTTGTTTATTTAATGTATTATTAGTCATTTTAATGACTTTTTACAAAAAAATAGTGGTCTTTCCTAATAACTAAATCCAATATAAAAGAAAATCATTAAAAAAATTCCCCAAAGTAAACAAAGCGTCTAAAAACTAATATAAAATAAGGGGATTATTTTTTGAAATATTAGATACAAATTGTTTAAAATATTTGGAAAAAATCTTGTGCAATCTAAAATATTAGACATTAACCTTCAATTAATTATTGTTTTACTTTAAAAAGAGGCAAAAAACATTAAAATGCTATAAAAGAAAAACAAATAAATAAATTGAATTAATACTCAAACTGTAACAACCTTGAGATATATACATCTTAAGAGATAAGCTGTTTCAGGTGTGTTAAATATTTTTATTTACAAAAAACATTAAGTGGTTTTTTGAAGGATTTTTTTCAGCCCTTTAGAGGGCTGGGACACGTACCTCTTGTTGGAGAAATTATCATAAATTATAAAAATATTTTTCGGATATTAAAAAAAAAAATTATTGAAAAATGTCGTTGAACTTGTGTTTTCGCTCCAATTATTTTGAAAAAAGAGAAAAAACAACAGCGCCATTTACCCTGATTATTTTTATAAAAAATATTTATTAAATATTTTTGTTTAATTTTTCATTAGTCAACTGCAAAGTAGTTTATATGAGCGGATAAACTGGTGCCACTTATTTCCTCCTTGAGACTTAAGACGCGTGGTATTTAAAATAAAAAAATGTAAAACAAAATGGCAAAAAATATTTCATTTTATTTAAGAAAAAATAGATATTGAAAATGACTTTTGGCTTTTAAAAGTGTGTAAGACATTGAGATATTAATTTGTTGCTGCTTTTTACATTAATTTATCTAATAAATTATGAAAATAACAAAAAAACTCAAAAGAAACTAACAAAAAATGAATTGAAACAATTAAATCTAAATGAAATTTTCAAAATGTTTTATTTAATTAAATTAACAACAACAAATTTCAAATAAATATTCATACTTTATCATAGAAATTTGCAAATATCTAAATGAACTTGTAGCTCTCTAAAACCGCTATACATAAATGACAAATGGCTGCTAATATGGCGGTCACTTGTATCTAAAAAATATCGAAATGCTTCAATAAACACATCAATAATTTAATATGCGAGGTAAATTATTCAAATATGACAAGATATTATTGAAATTACTACAACTAAATACATTTAAATTTTCAAATTTCAAATAAATATTGAAAGTATGTCATTAACTATTGTTTTTCAAAACTAAAGAATTCTTGAATTTCGCAATGACCTAAATGTATATTTAATATTAGAGGATTTGTTAACGGATAGAAAGTAAAAAACCTAAAAAAAATGTCAAGCTAATAAACTTTAAAATAAACAAAATATTTTTGTGAAATAAATCATAAATAATCGTTTAAGTATAAAAATTAATCCCACACTATTGGAAAATTATAAAAAAGAGAGAATTTTTTTATTAAATAAATTTCTTTTTCAGCTTTTTTTTATTGGCTCATAAAGAATTAAGTCGCCATGATTAAAAATATCTCGATTATAGACACCAATTTATTGGATAAAATTTAATTTAAAAATAGCGAAAAGAAATATTTCATGAAATACACATGCATTGAAAAGTTTTTAAGACAAACATAATAAAAATATCACATATTTATAGTTAAGACTATATACGAGATTATAGACAAGATCATGCACGAGATTATAGTTTAGATTATAAAGGAGACTATACTTAAACCTATAGATGTGAATATAGTTTAGACTATAAACTAGACTATAGTACAAACTATAGATGAGGCTATAGTCCAGACTATAGACGAGACTAGAACTGAAATGAAATGCAACTGAACTAGAACAGAACTTGAACAGAACTAGAACAGAACTAGAACAGAACTAGAACAGAACTAGAACAGAACTAGAACAGAACTGGAACAGAACTAGAACAGAACTAGAACAGAACTAGAACAGAACTAGAACAGAACTAGAACAGAACTAGAACAGAACTAGAACAGAACTAGAACAGACTAGAACAGACTAACAGAACTAGAACAGAACTAGAACAGAACTAGAACAAAACTAGAACAGAACTAGAACAGAACTAGAACAGAACTAGAACAGAACTAGAACAGAACTAGAACAGAACTAGAACAGAACTAGAACAGAACTAGAACAGAACTAGAACAGAACTAGAACAGAACTAGAACAGAACTAGAACAGAACTAGAACAGAACTAGAACAGAACTAGAAGAACTAGAACAGAACTAGAACAGAACTAGAACAGAACTAGAACAGAACTAGAACAGAACTAGAACAGAACTAGAACAGAACTAGAACAGAACTAGAACAGAACTAGAACAGAACTAGAACAGAACTAGAACAGAACTAGAACAGAACTAGAACAGAACTAGAACAGAACTAGAACAGAACTAGAACAGAACTAGAACAGAACTAGAACAGAACTAGAACAGAACTAGAACAGAACTAGAACAGAACTAGAACAGAACTAGAACAGAACTAGAACAGAACTAGAACAGAACTAGAACAGAACTAGAACAGAACTAGAACAGAACTAGAACAGAACTAGAACAGAACTAGAACAGAACTAGAACATAACTAGAACATAACTGGAACAGAATTAGAACAGAACTAGAACAGAACTAGAACAGAACTAGAACAGAACTAGAACAGAACTAGAACAGAACTAGAACAGAACTAGAACAGAACTAGAACAGAACTAGAACTAGAACAGAACTAGAACAGAACTAGAACAGAACTAGATCAGAACTAGAACAGAACTAGAACAGAACTAGAACAGAACTAGAACAGAACTAGAACAGAACTAGAACAGAACTAGAACAGAACTAGAACAGAACTAGAACAGAACTAGAAACAGACTAGAACAGAACTAGAACAGAACTAGAACAGAACTAGAACAGAACTAGAACAGAACTAGAACAGAACTAGAACAGAACTAGAACAGAACTAGAACAGAACTAGAACAGAACTAGAACAGAACTAGAACAGAACTAGAACAGAACTAGAACAGAACTAGAACAGAACTAGAACAGAACCTAGAACAGAACTAGAAACAGAACTAGAACAGAACTAGAACAGAACTAGAACAGAACTAGAACAGAACTAGAACAGAACTAGAACAGAACTAGAACAGAACTAGAACAGAACTAGAACAGAACTAGAACAGAACTAGAACAGAACTAGAACAGAACTAGAACAGAACTAGAACAGAACTAGAACAGAACTAGAACAGAAAACTAGAACAGAACTAGAACAGCACTAGAACAGAACTAGAACAGAACTAGAACAGAACTAGAACAGAACTAGAACAGACTAGAAACAGAACTAGAAACAGAACTAGAACAGAACTAGAACAGAACTAGAACAGAACTAGAAACAGAACTAGAACAGAACTAGAACAGAACTAGAACTATAACAGAACTAGAACAGAACTAGAACAGAACTAGAAACGAACTAGAACAGAACTAGAACAGAACTAGAACAGAACTAGAACAGAAACTAGAACAGAACTAGAACAGAACTAGAACAGAACTAGAACAGAACTAGAACAGAACTAGAACAGACTAGAACAGAACTAGAACAGAACTAGAACTAGAACAGAACTAGAACAGAACTAGAACAGAACTAGAACAGAACTAGAACAGAACTAGAACAGAACTAGAACAGAACTAGAACAGAACTAGAACAGAACTAGAACAGAACTAGAACAGAACTAGAACAGAACTAGAACAGAACTAGAACAGAACTAGAACAGAACTAGAACAGAACTAGAACAGAACTAGAACAGAACTAGAACAGAACTAGAACAGAACTAGAACAGAACTAGAACAGAACTAGAAACAGAACTAGAACAGAACTAGAACAGAACTAGAACAGAACTAGAACAGAACTAGAACAGAACTAGAAACAGAACTAGAACAGAACTAGAACAGAACTAGAACAGAACTAGAACAGAACTAGAACAGAACTAGAACAGAACTAGAACAGAACTAGAACAGAACTAGAACAGAACTAGAACAGAACTAGAACAGAACTAGAACAGAACTAGAACAGAACTAGAACAGAACTAGAACAGAACTAGAACAGAACTAGAACAGAACTAGAACAGAACTAGAACAGAACTAGAACAGAACTAGAACAGAACTAGAACAGAACTAGAACAGAACTAGAACAGAACTAGAACAGAACTAGAACAGAACTAGAACAGAACTAGAACAGAACTAGAACAGAACTAGAACAGAACTAGAACAGAACTAGAACAGAACTAGAACAGAACTAGAACAGAACTAGAACAGAACTAGAACAGAACTAGAACAGAACTAGAACAGAACTAGAACAGAACTAGAACAGAACTAGAACAGAACTAGAACAGAACTAGAACAGAACTAGAACAGAACTAGAACAGAACTAGAACAGAACTAGAACAGAACTAGAACAGAACTAGAACAGAACTAGAAAGAACTAGAACAGAACTAGAACAGAACTAGAACAGAAGTAGAACAGAACTAGAACAGAACTAGAACAGAACTAGAACTGAACTAGAACTGAACTAGAACTGAACTAGAGCTAAACTAGAACTGAACTAGAACTGAACTAGAACCGAACAAGAAATGAACTAGAACCGAACAAGAAATGAACTAGAACTGAACTAGAACCGAACAAGAAATGAACTAGAACTGAACTTGAACTGAACTAACTAGAACTGAACTAAAACTGAACTAGAACTGAACTAGAACTGAACTAGAACTGAACTAGAACTGAACTAGAACTGAACTAGAACTGAACTGGAATAGAAACTGAACTAGAACTGATCTAGCACTGAACTGGATCTGACCTAGAACTGAACTCTTTACTGACCAGACTTCATGTTTAAAATTTTGTTTTGTTTTTCATTTTTAATTCGAAACTATATTTAAACATTCTTTTTTTTTTATTCTTCAATATTTAAACAACAAATTATTTTCAAAAAATAAACAATTTCAAATTTATTATTAAATTTATTATCTATTTTCATTGTCCTTTATTTTGTTTATTGCTATTGTAAATATTTATGAATTTGAATTTATTTTTAAAATGGCAGTTGGTAAATATTTATTTACTGGAGATTTGTTGATGTTTTTGTTATTATAAGGGGAATTTAGTGTAATTTAGAATATTGTAATTGATTTAGTAAACAATAATAAAAATTTTAATAGATTAAATGAAAATATAAATGAGTAATAAATTAATAATATATTATTTTCTTTTGGTTGTATTTTTAGGTCCACGAAAAAGAAGGTGCTGCTTTAGCGGCTGCCCATTCGATTGGCTTCTGTGAAGTTTCGGTAGCCGAGTACACACCCACCCTTTATAAAGCATTCGAGAAGCTCATAATCGATTCTAAGGCAAGGCCACAAAAACAAAATCGTAAATTTTCGGTTAGTAAAATGTTGGGCACACTTATCGGCAATAATAGTTATAATCAAAAAACCATGGCCATTAACCAGGGCACCGTAGTGCCCTGTCACAAAGGAGAACTACACAAGTCGAGAGTTTTAAAAAGACGTCAGGGATTTACGGCCACTACCAGTCTGTGACCAGCAGCAGCCAATGATGGCTGGTAAATTTAAAATATAAACAACAACAACAACAACGTTAAAGCCAAAGAGTTATAAGACGCCTAAGCAAACAGAAACAGAATTAAAACAGGAGATTTTTTTTAATAGATGATCATAATTGATTTTGCAATTATGATTAAGCTAAATTAGCATTACTTTTTTTATATAGAAAAATAGCTATAAGAGTTATAAATTTAAAAGAAAAAATATTTTGTAAATTTTTTATATTAACAAATGAGGAATTGAGAAGTTTTGAGAGGAAATATTGAAGGAATTTATTAAAGTACTTGGTACTGGCTTAATTACTTAATTTATTTAATATTTTGCTAATTATTTTGCTTAATTTTTTTTAAGGCAAACCTACTCTAATCTTACTCATTTAAGATATTTTGTTTAAGTTAAACTTATAAATGGAAAGAAAAAGATAATGTTTTTGTTTTCTAAGTTTTATTAGAAAATTGGAGAATATTTTTTTACCTTAAAAAAGAAGTTAAAAAATAATTAATTTGTATTTAAATGGAATTTTGAATGAAGAAAAACCGAAAACTGAAAACAGTATCCCGGCAATTTTAGACAATAGTTTAAAAGTATTTTTGTAAAATGTTAAAACTTAAACAAATTTTAATAGAAAAAGAAAACATTCCTTCTAAATAAATGTTATAAATGTTAAATTTGAAATTATTATTGAACCCTGCCCCACCCCCTAATTAATATTGTTAACCGCCCCCTTTCACACACACACAACCTTTAACAGTTCGAAATTTCATTTGAAAACAAATTGAAAATATTTTTACTTTTTCAATAACTGAAATTTTGTATTTTTTGTTCAAAATAAAATAAAAAAATTTTATTTTAAAAACAAAAAATACAAAAGAAAAAGAACTGTGATATAAAAGGTTTTAATTTAAAAATAAAAAATATAAAAAAAATTTAAAAAAAAATTGTAAAATATTTGTAAGGCTTAAGAGTGTTAAAAACTTATTAAGTTTTAAGGGAATTATCAGAACAAATTTTTAATATTAAAAACAATTTCTTTAACAAAAAAATCCCTTAAAATTTAATTTAATTTTTTCCTTTTTTCCCCCCAAAAAATAAAAAAAAACGACTAACCAAATCCCTTTAATATTTGTTTAGCTCTATAAGAAATTGTTATAATTATTTCATTATAATTATTAATTTAATTTTTATTTTAAAATTTTAAGTTTTTAAATCATTTATATTTTTATGTTTTTTTTTTCAAACTTTCCTTGTAAAAATATAAATGCTTTTAAACTCACGAATTTGATTTTCAATTTGAGTATTTGTTTAAAAAAAAAATACTTAAATTTTGATATTTCAAATATTCCCTAAAAACGATTTTTAATTTAAACTCAAAACTCTAAAACTTTATTAAAAAAAAGTTTTTTTGTTTTGCTACTTAAAGAAAATTTTAGAAAAAAAAATGAAAAACACAACAAATTCTTAGCAGCATTTATATTTTAATTTTTATTAATTTTTGTTAATTTTTTTTTAATTTCCTTAATTTTAAAATTTTTTTCAAATTTTGTTAAAAAATGTTTTCCTAATGTATTAATTTTAAAATAAACAAAATTGCAAATATCTAAAATATATAAAAAAGAAATAAAATATTGAATAAATTTCTAATGGAAATTTTATTTGAATAAATGTAAAAACTATGGTTTTATTTAATAAGTAAGAGTTCTATTTTCTGTTCACCATGAAAACAGTCAAGGTTCAATATTATGGAAATTTCAAACAGTACCTTTTGAAGAACTAAAAAGTACCAAAAAGTTCCCTTTTATGGGTTCTCACTTAATCCAGACCTCTACATACTTAATTTCATTTTTCTAGGTTCAATATTATAGAAATTTCAAAAAGTACCTTTTGAAGATCGAAAAAGTACCGAAAAGATCTCTTTTATGGGTTCTCACTTAATCCAGACTCTACATACTAAATTTCATGTTTCTAGGTTCAATATTATAGAAATTTCAAAAAGTACCTTTTGTAGAACAAAAAAGTACCAAAAAGTTCCCTTTTATGGGTTCTCACATAATCCAGACCTCTACATACTTAATTTCATGTTTCTAGGTTCAATATTATGGAAATTTCAAAAAGTACCTTTTGAAGAACTAAAAAGTACCAAAAAGTCCTCTTTTATAGGTTCTCACTTAATCCAGACTCTACATACAAAATTTCATGTTTCTAGGTTCAATATTATAGAAATTTCAAAAAGTACCTTTTGAAGAACTAAAAATTACCAAAAAGTCCTCTTTTATGGGTTCTCACTTAATCCAGACTCTACATACTAAATTTCATGTTTCTAGGTTCAATGTTATAGAAATTTCAAAAATTACCTTTTGTAGACCAAAAAATTACCAAAAAGTCCCCTTTTATAGGATCTTACCTAATCAAGGCCCTTCATGCTAAATTTCATGTTTCTAGATTCAATATTATAGAAAATTCAGAAAGTACCTTTTGAAGAACGAAAAAGTACCAAAAAGTCCCCTTTTATGGGTTCTCACTTAATCCAGACTCTACATACTTAATTTTATGTTTCTAGGTTCAATATTATAGAAATTTCAAAAAGTACCTTTTGAAGAACGACAAAATACCAAAAAGTCCTCTTTTATAGGATCATACCTAATCAAGGCCCTTCATGCAAAATTTCATGTTTCAGGATTCAATATTATATAAAATTCAAAAAGTACCTTTTGTAGAACGAAAAAGTACCAAAAAGTCCCCTTTTATGTGTTCTGACCTAATCCGGGCTCTACATACATAATTTCATGTTTCTAGGTTCAATATTATAGAAAATGCAAAAAGTACATTTTGTATAACGAAAGAGTACCAAAAAGTTCCCTTTTATAGGATCTTACCTAATCAAGGCCCTTCATGCTAAATTTCATGTTTCTAGATTCAATATTATAGAAAATTCAAAAAGTACCTTTTGTAGAACGAAAAAGTACCAAAAAGTCCCCTTTTATGTGTCCTCGCCTAATCCGAGCTCTACAAACTTAATTTCATGTGTCTAGGTTCAATATTCTACAAAATTCAAAAAGTACCTTTTGTATAACGAAAAAGTACCAAAAATACCCTTTTATGTGTTCTGAAGGGTATAAAAATTTACTATTGCTATGAAATTTGTTCATTGAGTTAATGAAGGGACGACATTTATATAATGATTCTGAATATTAACTGCTAGCTGAGACCCCTAGCAGTTAGACTAAAATTTAAAACTGCAATGCCATCTAACGCATAAATTTAAAACAGTATCGAAGCACTTCTCACGATTTCGGGAATATATATAAATATTTTTGGATTTTTCTCTCATTACATTTTTATGAGTACAAATTGGACACTTTCCGCACGTCCAATTTTTCGAAAATTGCTGGCCGCATTGCACTAATTACACAAACAATATTGACCTCCAAGGCGTCAATTGTTACTGGTTTATCAGCATAAACTAGTGACTTCACATGGCCCCAACAAAGTCCGAGTGCTTAATGTGAGTACTTGGCATGTAACCCTATCCGAACATCTCAGTTCTCTCTTTAGATCATATATAAAACATTCCTCCACAACAATCCACACTGATATGAGCAGACAAAGAAATATGTTCACGTTTGAATGAAGACATTGACAAGTCCTCTTGAGGGAAATCGACTATAGGGGGCGCTGTTGTCACCCACTAGTGCCAATTTACTGAAACTTGGTCAACTAAGTTATGCAACTAGAGGATTAAAAGGCCTGTGGGTCATTCGAGATCCTGATTGTTGGTCTATGGTTTTTTATTGACAATTTGAAGTTATTATACCCAACAGGGATAAACGGACCAATCAAACGTGGTGGCATGTTAATGCTGATCAAGTTTGGTCCAAACAAATAAATGGTGAAACTGGAGAAGACGTCTGTGGCCTCAACGGAAGCGGAAGCTCATACCTCAATCTTTCAAATAGAACTTTATGGCATTTTCATTTGTTTTAGGAAGAGAAGAATCAGGGGTTTTTGAATATTTATAATAAAGGACAGCTAAGCATCACTTAAGGCCTTATTGTCATATGAAATTTGGTCGGGTGTTATAATGACCCCACTGAATGAATTAGGTAGACACAATAAACTGACTTTATATTGGATACCTGGCCATGAAGGTCACTCAGGCAAGAACGGGCGGATTGCAGGGCAAATAAGGGCGCCCACCTCCTATTTATCGGCATTGAGCCTTACTTGGGTATTCTACGAGGGTATGCCAAGACAAAGTGAAACCTGTGGGTTGGATCGGCACTGGAAAGCCATATCAGGGCTCAGACAACCAAAACGTTTTATACCGCTATCAAAGGGTAAATCCCAAAAGCTTCTATCGCTCAATAAAGGCGATCTCAAAGTACTAGCGGTATTACTTACTGGTCATTGGGGTCTCAATTACAATCAATTCACTATCGACAATGTTATATATATATATATCTATATGGAGATTTTGCTGACCACAAGACAGCTCAATCTTTTAGAAAAGAGTACTATATTTATCACTGACAATGCTAAGATAGGTTAAAGGTCATAGAAATCAGCTTTATGTACATCTCACTTTTTATGTAGCAGACAAGCTAAAATTATTGTTAAATTAATCGGCATTTTGATAAAAATTACATTTTGGTTCAAGTAATCTAAAAAGCCCAAAAACACAACTAATTCCATTAAATTTCATTGAAACTAAGCCACTACTACATAATCATAACCTCCAGCATTTGTTTTCAGTACAAACAAACCATTACAGAAATTCTTAATAAATTTTGTAAATTTTTACGTTTATACTCACCTGTATTAATGAAAGAAGGGGAAAAAAAACGTGAAACATTGATGATTTTTTATTTGAATTTTTAAGAGCCACTTTGCACAATTCAACATTTGAAAATGTGACTACGACTCGACATGCAAGACATCACATCACAAATGGCGTGGACATTCGAATGCATTGTGCGGGTGCACTAACTGCAAAATATAAACGTTTAAAATGATAGATAATTAATAGCAAAATTTCCCACGCTTTTACCATTTATTAAATGTCATTTTTACACATTGATAACATCATCCCCCAATAGAAGCTTTCAATTGTTTAATATTTTGCCCATAAGTGCGCGCAACACATCAAATATTTTGTTTTAGTTTCATGTAAAATTCTTGTTAAAGAAATGTTTCACAATTGTTTAACGATTGAAATTAAATATTTAAAATCTTACACTTGTTTTACCATCACAGACTGTTAAACGTGACATTTAACGATGAAAACAAAAACGATGACGATGATTAAGCGAGAACTTTAAAAATGAAATTAATAGAGGATTATAGGGAATTAATTACGAGAAGAAAAAATAAATAACATAAATAATGGGTTATTTTAAGAATAATTAAGTTTAAATTAATCAAATGAGATATTATATGCTATTTATGTAAACATAAGCATAAAATTAGGGAAAATTATAAAACTTATAACTATAGACTAGACTATAGATTAGACTTGACTAGACTAGACTATAGACTAGACTATAGACTAGACTA